ACAAAGTTTTTTTCAAGCTAGAGTTGATACGGGAGGGTACCACCCCTGTGAGATTTATGCTTTTATTACTATTACTATCTTAAATACCAGCACCATTTGTCTTTCATTGTGTTCTTTATCAACAAACACAATCCCATCTTCTGAGCTACATGTGGACACCAATTCTATGGTCCATGCTCTCCCTGGGATTTAGAATGCTGTTTAGTTAAAGGCTCTCAGTTCCATACCCATTCCAGCTGCTCACTCCTGTGTAACGTGTAGCTTTGCCAAAACAATCTGTATTAAGGGAAGCTATAGAGAAAGCCACAGGTCATTTACAGTCTAATGGAGAGAAGGACACAGCAGGCAATTTGGCCCAGACTGAAATCTGTGCGGTCAACGTATTTCCTTCACGTACCGGAAAAAGGCCAACTGGAGTGCTACTTGGATGTAGGCATCTGGACTCATCTTCTGTTTTTTGATAAATTCTTTCCCATAGTTTTCAAACTTATAAGCAACAAAATCCAGATTCTTCACCAGTCTAGAAAAGAAGAAAGAAGAGGAATAAGTGTGAGAAGTCCACACCATCTTTTAAAAAAATAAACATGTTTCTCCCGACAAGCCATCCAAAGCATTGGCAGCATTGTGTCCATAAAAAGCTTGAAGTTCAGGCATTAAACTCAGTTCCCAGACATCTGATGAATTGTTCAGTGTAATTGAAGCAGCTCTACATCTCCTCTGAACCCTGGAATAAGCAGTTCAGGAGAAACAGGTTTACAACCAGAAGCACAAGCATATGCAAAGAGCTATGGCTTGAATTCAAATGGGCTGCTCTAGGATTCAAATTAGTTCCTTTTACTCCCATGGCAGAGGTCGCTGGAGCTCTAGATGTATTCCTCAGACTAATTAGAGAACACCTTGTGCGCCCACAGAGGTTAAAAGTTTACATAAAATGCAAAGACTAACATCTAGTTTATTTCCCCTCTTGTTTGGAGTTATGATTAATGCAACAGGAACACACTGACAATAATACACAGGACACCACTGTGGTGGAGGACGGGGCCGAATCCTGCAGGGGCTCCACCCTGCTCCTTTGCATGGATGTTTTCCCAGATATTTATATATTTAACAGAGCTTTCTGAGGGGCATTTGACTTACTTCAAAGGTTGTGCACAGCCCTGGCATTTAATATATTTCTTTGCCATTTTTCAAGGCTGGGATTTTTCTCAAGTTGCTTCTAATGCAAAAGCAAAATAGGAATTGTAAAATAAGCGAATGGAAAAGAAAATGTAAGGGAAATATCCAACAGCAGAAAAGAGCTTTTCCTTTTAGGGACGTGCCAGAGAGAACAGATGTTTTAAAAGGAGACGCTTTCGATGAAACCACGATGCCTCTTGAGGAAGCGAATTTTCTGATGAGACGTCACCACAAAAATAGTTTTTCCTATACTGCCTATCTTACATTTGCTAATACAGAGTTACAAAATATAGAATTATGACTACAGATGAAAAGAAAAGGAAGGAAGGAAAGAAGGAAAAGAAGGAAACAGGCGAATGGATGAGATAAAGGCAGGAAGGCAGGATATCCTTAATCATATATAACATGTTTTTCTGCACTTTCTTTCACCAGCAAGAACTGTGCTTTTTGCTCTTTACTCCACCAGTATCTCCCCCCCCCCAATCAGTCAATGAACCCCCTGTCTATTTATTGTGCTCCTCAGATTAATCCTTGAAAACCTGCAGCCCTCATATCTCTGCATGACGTTGAACCACCAGGAAACTCCTTGTACCTTTCCAATTTTTCCGCAGAAGAAGCCAAGTGACTCTGAATTTCTGGAGAACATTTCCACCGCAGCCTCCTTGGAGCAGGAAGCTCACTCACGGAATCTGCTCTGACCAGTTTCTTTGCTCCTTCTTTCCTGTTCATAGAGAAGTAGAGGAGTCCAGTGGTTGGTTGGTTGATTCATTAATTTTGTGACCTGCCTTTCTAAATCAACTCAGGGAAAGTCTCCCCATATATTATAGCTTCTGAGTCAGAACTACTTTGACAAATTACAGGAAATATTTTTTTTCCTGTCTGAAATAAGAGGTTGAGCTTGGTTCTTGGTGTCTGTGTAGGATGAATCTCACCCTCAAAAATATGGAAGCCATTGTCTTTTGTGGCAATAGCTTCTTTTTGTGGTCTTCTCAATCTACCTTACAAACCTTAGATTCCTTGGTGGCCTTTTATCTGGTTCACTGACAAAAGAAACCAACATGGTTACATCCACGAAGTCTCTAGGAGCTAAGTCCAACCTGAACTAAACTTCCTCCCCACCATCCCCTATTTTTTCCTTTGAGTCAATGGCCTTAAATTTGGGATTGTCTCCTTTTCTAGAAAGTGCAACATAATTTACACATTACTCATTCCATCCCACTGCTTTTCTCCAAGAGGAGAAAATGCCATCAATAAGTGTTTCCTTCCAAGATTTGGCCAAATATGAAGGTGTCCATCATGTCTAGATTTCTGCATGGCCTTACAAAAGGAAGTAATGAATAATAGGAAGACATTCCGTTAAGTGGAGTTGGCTTCAAGTTATTTCTGAAATCTGAATGTCACTGGAAAACATGCAATGCACACATTGAAGTGAAAAGGCAGATGGTTTCTTAGAGCAGCTGAAGGTAACTTACATGTGCTTCAGCAAGTGTTCGATGCACTGCACAAGAATGATCCCATCAAACGGAGAGTGTTCACACACTGTTCCACAGACTCCATCTCGTCCTACGACAAACTAAGCAGGGACATTAAATTAGGCAGAAGTGAAATATGGATTTAGTAACTCTTGAGTTCAAAAGAATGCAGTACATTTTACCTTTAAGATATCAGTTAGAGAAATAGACCAGCCAGTATTAGAACTGGAGGCTGGGTTTGTTTTATGCATTGGCCAAATATCACAGAAACAATTTTAAATTTCTCAGTGTAACAATATCCAAAGGTCTTAAACTTGACATAGTTGGATGATGTGAAATATCAAAAAGCACATAGGAGAAAATTGAAAGGAAGTGTAAAAGCATAAACATGTCATAGGTTTTTTAAAAACAACAACAACGGAGTGAATGATGCTCATGAAGATATTCAATAGGAAGTCATTCTATTTCTTTCCAAGTGTTCTCTCTTATTTTCACTTCCACACAGAATAATAGAGGTGGAAGATCTGTAGTCTAATCCCCTGCTTAAGCAGAAGACCCTATATCATTTGAGGAGCCAAAGAAGAGGTGGTCAACCTATATTCTCCAAAGCCCCTGAAGACAGGACAAGAAGCAATGGATGAAAACTAATCGAGGAGAGAAGCAACCTAGAAATAAGGAGAAACTTCCTAATAGTGAGGACAATTAACCAGTGGAACTTCCCTCCAGAAGTTGGCACTGAAAGTTTATAACTGGAAGTTTTTAAGAAAAGGTTGGACAGACACTTGTACAGAATGGTATAGATCTCCTGCTTGAGCAGGGGGTTGGACTAGAAGACCTCCAAACAGTGACGTGCAGTGAGGTTTATGGCAGGTGAGGTATTGACACAGAGGTTTCAAATTTTTTTAGACTTGTGGATTTCACCTCCCAGAATTCCACAGCCAGGAATGCTCAGTTCTGATGTAAAGCGACAGCATTTTTTCTCCTTTGCGAAATACGTTTTCCTTCATTCTTTTTCTTCTCCCTCCCCATCCTTCCTCCCTCTCTCTCTCCCTCCCTCCCTCCTCTCTCAAACAGACACACGCACACAGAGAAGTTGGATCCCTNGGATTTTAAATAAGGCTACCTGAGCTGGGATGCAAAAGTCTCAATGGCCATTAGATGGCAGCAAGTGTACCTTTGCTACCCTCTAGTGGCTGCATAGTTGAGTAGCAAGCAAGGGATTGCACATTAAAAAGCACATGAATGCATTTGGAAGAAATTTTATCTATGTAACTCATTCCATAGGTATCTTTAAAGTCCAACAGATTTATATCAGACATCAAGTTGAAAATAAACAAAAATATTCTATTTCAGCCTCAGATTTCTTGAAAGTGAAGTACTTCTATTTCATAGTCATCACCATCACTAAGATAGGTTTTCCCCCCAGCAATGGACTTTTTTTTCATATAGTAGATACTTACCAAAACAGTGTAATTGGTCTGAGCGGTTATTGCACTCTTAAATAGCTGCATTTTTTCAGAATTCTGTAGATAAAACAGAACACAGAGATTTTCCAAATTTATATATCCACGTGGGCAATCCCATTAATTTTAATTCAGTGATTAATTCCTTTAGTACAGTTCTGCATTAGGAGTAGAACTGATTCTAAACTAGAATGCAAGTTTGAACATTTGTTCAGTTTGAAATCAGTTTGAAAATGCAAGGTTAAGTTTCAGTCTTCAAGTGAAAAATAGAGAAAAAGGCTGGCATGCCGAGTAGTTGTACAGAAACTGATGGAATTGGCAGAGTTGGCTAAATTGACAATTTGGTTCAAAGAAAGGAATATAAGTACTTTGGTTTCTACTTGGAAATCACTTCTGGACTTGGTCCTTGAGATGGAAAAAAATGAAACTTTGATTTTGGTTTTTACCTATTAGATTGATTTGCCATTAAAGAAATGGCTAGTTTACATTATTATATTTTATATAGTTTATTTATTATTATTATGGAAAAGTAAAAAGTTGAGATCCTTGTTAATGCTTGTTAATGCTTTAATGCTCTACTGCAACAGAGAGAGTCGGAAGTCAATATCTTTTTTTTCTCTCCTCCCCCTCTTCCTCACTTCTTTTTTCCCAATTCCCTCCGCTGGGTCCTACTATTTGCTTTTATATTTTATTCTGTAATCTAATAAAACGTTAAAATACTGGATGCTGAATATGTCAGTCTCCGTAATACTGTAGATATTGATTTCTACTTGTGTTATAGGCATGGAGAAAGAACATACAAAAAGTTGTAACAGTCCAGAGATAGGCTGTTCTGTCCAACCTACCTTATGGCTGCCTTCCCCAACATGGTGCTCCCCAAATCTGATGGATTACAACTCTTAACATCTCTACTCAATATATCTGAAAGCTTCTCCAGAAGCCATCAAGATTCAGATTCAATCTAACTGAAGCCAGCACAATGTATGCAGTTTTAATAGTAACAAACCAATCATTAAATGCTTCAGTGGCTGAAGAATTAGCTTGGTGTAATCAGCAAAAGAATAGCTCACCACACGCAGAAGCTTTTTAACCAAGACTAAACAATGCCCAATTTTACTGATTCTGCAAGTGCATTATAGTTACCCTTAAGGTGAGTTGTTACAGCTTCATTTGAGCTTACTAAATGGGTATAGCTTAGCATAGGATTACTTTTAACTCATCATCACTGAGCATCTATCAAGGATTACCATACTTGCTACCAATAAATTCATTATACAATCCAGTATTTCTTCTCTTTCTTGCACTTCCTCTCTATACACCTGTCTTCTCTGGACAAGCAAAGAAGTAAAGCATCCCTCAACCTCTCTATCTCAAACCATTTATAGAGTAAGAGAATGATCCTCTCCAACAGTAGAAGATTTGTCTTCTTAGCTGTCTTGGGTTCTTGATGAGAAGAAAGACAGGAATAGAAATGGAATGCATATATAAACCTGAAACATAAGCCAAAGAGTCAGAGACCTGGAGACCCGATTTCTTATCTACCATTCCTTTTGCAAACGTTAACGCTTCTGGAGTGGCGGAGCGGATGTTGTCTACCCTCCCGCATTCATAGCGACGAAGAGAAGCACTTTCGTAGGTGGGAACCAGCTTCGTGTTCAACCTACAGTGGAACAACAATAGAATCCTGATTGGATCATCCCCTTATTATAGAAGCTCTAAACAGCTTATTCTGAAAACAGTAGCATCCTAATCCAGGTGTATATTTTACTATTGCAATTTCTACTGGGTTTAGGACTTCTATTTTAACTATGGGAAGAATCTAATGGCAAAGGAATGTTGGGCCTCCCAACTCTGTTCTAGATTAAAAAGTGGTGGAATCCTTAGAGGAGTCTAAAGACGTATCCTACAGAATATAAAGTGTAATTGATTTGGATTTGGATGTCCATTCATCTCCACAAGTGACTCTGGGTGGCAAGCAAACTTACAATTAATCAAAAACAAATTCTCATCAGAGATACAAAAATTAAGAAGCCCAATACCTAAGGAAATGTCTTGTTACATCTAGACAGGCTACCTGGTTCTATCTAAATTGTGTGTGGAATGGCTGGCTGTGTGTCCTCTTTTGCAATTGTGAATTCTTTCTTTAGAAAGTCCTCCAATTAGATGGCAGTACTTAGTTAACCTTTGGTAGAACTGGAAAAGCTAAGCAGGATGAGTCCTAGTTAGTATTTGGTTGACAGTTCACTAAAAAGAAAATTTTAGGATGACAGCCCTAGACTGGAAAATGAAAAGAAAAAAGCACTTGAAATATATCTGTGTTACCAGGAAAATTACAGAGAGGGCTATGAAGATTGTAGGTAGGAAGTGAGCTGAAGTCAAAAGCCACCCTTTTCCAGATTCTGAATTTGTGTCAAGAGTTCTGAAGTCAGTGTGTAAGTGGTGGAATTTGTGTGGCTACAGCATCATCAAACGTCATCCCATAGCATTGTCACAGGATTACAGAGCTTTATAAAGTGAGTCTTCCCCAAAAGATTCCTAGGATCAGGTTATACTTTGGTTGGACCCTGGAAATGTTGTATCCCCTTCTTTGGTCCCTTCTGACTACCTTGAGTGTGAGAGGGAAAAATAATCATTCAACTTATCTCCACGATATCCAGAAGACAATTTGGACTGGGAAGAATTTATTTACTTGTTTCTGTATGGGAGGATAGTTCAACCATCCCTCTGAATACCCCATGTGGGAAGACACGGTAGAAAAACCTTGAATTTTCAGAAAATAGGTCAGAGAAGAAACCAACATCTCAGGATTTTCTCCTTAATTCTACCTGAAGGTGCAGAAGATTGGTGGCCTGCTCTGAACTTTCTTATTCCAGGCAGAGAATCTTTGAACAGCCTGGACTTTTGACCACAAAGTGGACAGCAGGCTCTCCTGGAACTCCACTGAATTATATGCTTCTTTATCATTCATTGGCATCTAAAATATGCTTTCATTGTGTTCTTTTTTTTTTTTTTTTTTTGGTTTTAAAAATATTTTTTTTTTGTTTTTTTTTTTTTTTTTTTTTTGTAATTACTTTTATTTTATTCAATTTTCACATTCCATTTGCAATCATTTATATACAGGGTATTTACTATAAGAAA